AAGGCAACTAGACCCATAAATTAAATCACTACTCTTTAAAGATCTATTGAGCATTTAATTCTATTCCACTTTTCATTCGGAGAATCCCAGTATAAATTAGTTTATTTGACTCCTGAAGTCTAAGTTAACAATTTGATCCCTCATAATTTCATTAGTTTATTGACTCCTAAAGTGTAAGTTTAAAATTTGATCCCTCATAATTCAAAGATTGTTACTTTATTTTAATTTTAAATTAATAAATTTAAATTGTCACTCTTAATTTTTTTTCCTTGTTTTGTTAGGAAATTTGCACGTTAAAGAAAAAGTTAAAGTATAAATTTACAAAATAATCCAAATTTTGACTATGATAATAAGTTAGACCTCAAATTTTGAAATTTGCCCTATTAAATTAGATATAGTACATATGTTTTGTTTTTTCTTTTTTTTCTCTTTTTATCGAAAAGCTATAGTCATATGTTCAAACTTACATCTTAGGTTGTTTTGGAATGATTTAAATAAGCTGCAACTTTTTAACTTTTTACGAAAAAACTTAAAAATGGGATTGAGTTGAAAAGTTGATTGTGGTAGAGAGATGATGTGATTTAAATGAGATGATGTGACTTAAATAAGATAGTGACTTTTTAATTTTTTTGAATTTTGATATTATGCCAAACTAGGCCTTAAAGAAAAAAAGAACAATGCAACACTTTTTTAAACTTATATTTAGGGTTTGCAGTGAATGTGAACGCTTAACCTTTCAAAATTATAATGATTCCGGAACATGACGTGACTATTATTGCCTTTTGATCAATAATTTTTTTATTTACCTAGCTATTTTTTATTTTTGAAATCATTGTTAACACGCAACCAACTTCAATAGCCTGAAAGTATTATTTTTCTTTTTTTCTTTTTTTATCTACTTTTCTTATTTTAATTTTCTCAATTAATACTCTACTCTTTTTTGACGGAATTAAATAATAATAATTAACTCTACTCTGTCCAACCATTGCACCACCCCTTGTCACTTCTCATCATTCAGCCACTTAAGAACGGCAAATTACCCTGACCATAACGGGTCCCTTGACTCCTTTTAACCCTAATACAAATGGGGTTTTTGGAGGTTTTCTTAATATGGTTAAGGTCGTGTTTGGAAATTGAGAATAAAAGATTTATAGGGTCGGGCCAGGTATGGAAAGGATTATCCACGCCACCATCCTCCCAATTATGGTATTATTTAAACAATGTCTCATTTTTGACATTAATTTATTGTTTTTAAATGATATAAAATTAACTTATATTTTTTCCTTCTATTTTTATGTTTTTCTTAATCACACTTCTTCTTCTCTATTTATTTTTGATTTCCACTAAGGTCTTATTTGAAATTGACTACTTTAGATTAACTTTTTTAATTAATTAATTAATAATTTTTAAAAAAATGTTAAAAAATAAAGAGAAGAGTGAGCTGTGACAACTTTTACTGACTTTTTAACTATTTTTAGCCAAATGCCGACAAGGCTAAAATCAACACAAACAACACCGTATTAAAGTTAGGGTGCTGTATTAAGTGTGCAACCCCCTTAAGGTTGACACTATATGCAAGTCAATTGTTAGGCAGTCAATAATGATCAGACCATTGAATTGTTTAACGTAGAAAAAGTTGAAATCCGGGACAACCGTGTTAATGCTTGTATTTGCATGATTGCATCCCACTCACTCTCTGTATTTTCTCTTCTATCCATCTCGTTGAGTCAGTGTAACCCTTGATTTATTAATAGTGAGAAGCCCCTGCGGTTTAATGTTCCATTGACGAAGCTCTGTAAGGAACAGTATTATAACGGGCGATTCCAACAACACGAACTACAAGGCTGTGTTGGTTCCATTGGCTGAAGTGAAGCCGTTCTCTCCAACTAGATATGAGGTTATGGAGCTGTTCTCACTCTCTCTCTCTCTCTGATCTCTTCACTTCAGCTATTTTCCCTCAGCTAAACCTGCCCATCCTAACGGTTTCAACCACTCTATGGCTTTGTATGAAACGAAAACCCCTCCATTGGCAACTAACCTTCTCTTTCTCAAACGATGTTTGTTTGGGAAGATGATTGGATTTTTTTGTGGTTGGATGTGATGTTTGTGAGAGAAAAAGTGAAATGATTATGAGTTTGATGTGATATTTTGTCTTATTAGCTATTTTAGCCTATTTTATCTTTTTGTGAATTTTAGCTTAAATTGAACTATTTTTTTTTCTTTCCAAACACCCCTATATATAATTTAAAAATCATAAATCTTTTATGATTATTTTTATAAAAAAATTTTCATAATACCTAAGATTGTTGAAAAAGAGGTACTTCCGGAGTCCCTCATATTTGTCAGGTTGAAGTTAATTAGGAGATCCTGTTGTGAAATTTTCTCGTGCATCACGAGGATCTTTTGAAAGCTACTTTTCGTACAAAAACCCTTGTTAAACTTTTAATTACCAAATAAGAAATGGGCATAAAAAGAGGTCCTTCCGGAGTCCCTCATATTTGTCAGGTTGAAGTTAATTAGGAGATCCTGTTGTGAAATTTTCTCGTGCATCACGAGGATCTTTTGAAAGCTACTTTTCGTACAAAAATTTCAAAAACCTTTTTAATTACCAAATAAGAAATGGGCATAAAAAGAGGTCCTTGAGGAGTCCCTCATATTTGTCAGGTTGAAGTTAGGAGATCCGAGAGAGAGCGAGAGAGAGAGAGAGAGAGAGAGCGAGAGAGCTTGGAGACGTTGAAAATGGAAGCGAGGAGTAGTAGTAGTTCAGTGGCAGTATGGATCTGGATGGGGTTGATTGTTGGAGTATTAGGGTTATGGAAAGTGTTGAATTGGTTATGGTTGAAGCCGAAGAAACTTGAGAGGTTGCTGAGAAAGCAAGGTCTCCATGGAAATCCATATAGGCTCTTCTATGGAGATATCAAAGATATGATGAGCATTACCAGGCAAGCTTGCTCCAAACCTCTCCATCTTCACGATAACAATGTCCTCCCACGAGTCCTCCCCTTTCACCATCACATCGCCAACAAGTATGGTGAGTCACTTTTTTTTTGTCTTTTCAACAATGATAGAGAACACTAATTTTGGAGTTTTAAAAAGATCACTAATGACATAACACTCAATAAAAAAAAGAAAAAAAATATAACATCAAAGTCAAAACATCAAATCATTCATGGTGAAATTCACCGCCACATCATTAGTAGTAGCATTAATTAGTGTTCTTACTCGTTTTCCTTTTCTTTCTCCTGTTTCACTCTGTTTGGATAACTTGATTTTGATGAGAAATGGGGAGGAGAAAACAAAAAAAAAAGTCTTACGGTGCTTTTGTTTTTTGTTTTATTTTCTTTTTTTTTTTTGAAATTGTTTGATATTTCTGTTTACACAACTTATTGGGTACAAATACTTCAAGACAAATTATAAAAAAAATTATCAGAATTTGAGTCAGGTTACAAAATAAATTATAAATTTTGAATTTTTTCATTTGAAGTCTTATACTTTGGATTTGGATTTGTTTTCAATTTACATGATTTGTCTATTTTTTTAAAGTAAAATTGGTTAAAAAAAATATTTTAGTTATCAAATTCATAAAAAAATATTAATTTAGACATTTTGTGTATATTTACATTGAGTTTAATTATTAATTTTTTTTGTCAGATTTATCTAATAAAAATAGATGTATGATTTATATTTAAAATAAATAAAAATATTATAGAATTTAATTTAACAAAATTAAAAATTAATTATTTAAAAATCTTATTTACAAATATTAAGTTAGTTCAGATCCTATTTAAAATGGGAATGGGTTCTGTCCAGTCTTTAATCGGACTGGACCATGTTTTTGGGTTCGTGGAGGCCCACTACGGGTTTCGTTTTGATAATCTGAACCGTTCAATGTGTAGAACTCGTCGAGTACTATGTGTCTGTAAAAAATCACGTTGATCGGATATCGATAGCTATGTGACCAAAATAGATTTTTGTCAATTGTTAATTTATTCACCATCCATTTTTTTTATACAAAACTGATTTGATCACATAGCTATCGATATCCGATTAACGTGATTTTTTTATAAACAAATAGTACTCGACGAGTTTTACATATTAAACGATACAGATTATCAAAACAGGACCTGTGATAAACTCTTACGAATCTAATAATATAATCTAATTCGATTAAGGACCGGACAGAAATCATGCCCATCTAAAATTTCTAAAAATCTACCTCGTATCTATTTTCCTTCTCTGCCCACCTTTTTGGCCACGCAATCATTTCTTATTATTTATTTATTTTTTCTGATTTTGTTTACCCACCTGGACACACTTCCCAACTTACGAATATAATCAAGATCTCGGACTCACAATTTAAAGGATTATTTAGGATGAATTAAATAAGTATATTTTTTATTTTTTATGAAAAAATATATAAAAAAATAAAGAAGGGATGTGATAAAAAAAATATAAAAAGATAAATTATTTTTAACTTTCCAAACTTGACCTAAATATTGTAAGTACATCGCACTATTTTTTTACATATTAGAATTTTTTTATATAAATTATAAATAAACTCCTACGAATTATTTTTTGTGATTTAAAAAATTATTAATATTTTTTTATAATTTTTTTATTTAATAAAATTAATTTAAAAAATAAAAGTTTAACTATTTTTTTATAAGATATAAAATTGGTTGAATTATTAATTAATATATATTTTTGATATCATTAAAAATTATTAATTAATTTGATAATTTATTGATAAAATAGATTATTTATTATGAAATTAAAAAACTTTAAGGGGTGATAATTTATAATTTTTGTTCCTTTTAGATTATGACAAGGATATGGGTTTATTCTGGGATACAAAATTCCTTCGTTAATGAGCGATGAAGATTCTACCAAGAGATGAATGTTGGTAAATTATTTAATTTCAAATTTGGGTTTTTTTTTCCCCTCCTTTCTTCATCAGTGAGATTGCGCCAAAAAATTAGACAATTTAACAGAGGACAAAAACTATCCTCTTGTCAAAGCTTAGACATGATGGTGTTTGGCAAGTTGGTTTGTGGTTAAAATAGTCACAAAAAGACAAAATAGATTATTTTAACCACAATAAATAAAATATTACATTAAATCCATAATCATTATACTCTTTTCTCACAAAAAAAATCAAAAAAATTAAAAAATTAAAAAATCCTTCCTAAACTAAATATTTTAGCCTAAGCTAAAATAACCAAAAAAGTTAAAAAACTAAAAAACCAACTCACTTTCCAAACGGAGACTATGTTTGTTATGGTTGTTTGTTACTATCCTCTTGTCAAAGCTAGTTTATTGTCTCTTTTTTTTTTAAAGTGCAAAAAGTAGAGATTTCAGACTTCCCTTTAGTTTGTTGTAAAAAAAAAAAAAGGACTTTCCATTATTTTTGTTCATAAAAAAAAAGAAAAAGGATTTTTTTTTTTTTTTGAAGTAGATTCCAAACAACCCCTGCTAATCTAGACTATGATGATGGTCCATAATGTGCAGGTAAGAAGTGTGTGATATGGACAGGGACGTGTCCCACAGTGATGATAATGGAGCCTCAACTAATCGAAGAAATTCTGCTGAAGAACAATAATTTCAAAAAGCAAACACCAAGTCCTACCCTTAGCTTGCTACTTTCTGGTCTTGCTGGCTATGAGGGTGAGAAATGGGCTAAGCATAGAAGGATTATGAACCCTGCTTTCTACCTTGAGAAATTGAAGGTACTTTTTCTCTTTTTTTCATTTGTCGTTTTGCATGCAGCTAGAAACGGTTTTTTATTTATTTATTAATTTATAACAGTTTTGCCTATTCTCACGTGTTGTATCTTATATTTTTTAAAAATTATCGTGTTGGAACATCATATGGTATTCATGGCGTGATGTTTGCCAAATTGCCAAATATAGGGCTAGTTTGGGAAGGGTGGGGTTGGGTATTTTTGATTAAAGTAGTTACAAAAAAATAAAATAATTTTTTTAGTCTAATAAGACAAAATATCATATTTAATCTATAATCATTACATTATTTTTTTCACAAAAAAATTAAAAATCCTTCTCAAATGAAAAATTTTAATTCCAAATTAAAATAGTAAAAAAAAAATTAAAAAATTAAAAATCCAACCCACTCTCTAAACGAACCCTTTCAAACACGTCCTAAGCACACCATGTAAACAAAAGGGACACCTGTAGAGCGCTAATTTGAGTTCGTCAATTTTAGGGATGATATGAGGTTGTTGGTCTTATTCATTGTGTTTGGCTTTAATTTTTTTGATTTAGTTTTTTAAAAATTAAATTTTTTATTTTTTATTTTTAGTGAATATTTTTTAAATTTTAAATAGTTTGTTTACTTTTTTAGATACAGCTTACTTAGATGAATCTAAATTATAAAATATTTGTGAGAAATATTTTAAAAAATTAATAAATATACAAAAATATGAAAAATGTATTGAATTTTTGTATTTTTGGTATTTAATGAATTTTTTTTAAAAAAATTCCATAAATATACTTTTTAAGTGTATTTATGTTAAAGTGTGCCTACAAATTTAAAAAAAAAAGTTTAAAATATTAAAAAAATTCAGTGAAAACAAAAAACTATAGAAGACGAAAAGGTAAAATTTTCTGAAAAGTAAATTCTGAAAACTAAATTCAAACATACATATTAGTTTTTTGTGACCAAGATTATCAGTGAATTCTATCAAATTTAACAATTAAGTCTTATTTTTCATAACTTATTCCCAAGAAGTTCAATTTTTCCTAATGGTATGCTTTATTATGATTACTAACTGTTTAAACAATTTTAATTTACTTCAATACTATGTTTTTAAATTGTCAAAATTAAACAAATTACATCAAGCAAAATTATGAACAATTTGATCAAAAGAACTATGCCATAAATCATTTTCTATTATCTCACATGATCAAAAATAAATTGGTAAACAAATTCAAAGTGTCTAATTTTATTAATATTCCATTAAAAAATTGTGGAAAATAATATTGTTGAAAATTCATATTTTTTCATATTGTGAGATAAAATAATGAATTTTATAAGCTTTTGTTTAATAAAATTTGATTATTCTTAAATTTTAAAAATATTTTTAAATAAATTATTATTTTTATAAAATTGTTATTCATATATATTTTACCGTGTAGGGTAAACTTGGAATAAAATATATCATAAGAGAATTGAATTTTTTGGGAACAAGTTATCAAATATATAGGACTTAAAGGCCTCGTTTGTTTGGCGTTATATGAAGGGGATTGAGACTACTAATACCTTGGTATTACTAATACCTTGTTTGTTTTGAGAGATGGCTTTGGAACTACTAATACGTTGGTATTACTAATACCCTTGGAAGGGGGATTCATAGTGAGAAGGTAGAGATGGTATTAGAAAAATAGTGAGGGGATTATAATTTTTTTATTTTTTTTATTTTTTATATATTGGAAATTTTTTTTAAAATATTAATATTTAATTTTTATATTTTTTTTATTTGTTTTATTATTTTATATAAAAATAATTTAACAATTTTTCACTATTAATCCCCTCATTATCAATTCCCTCCATTCTATCTCTGAAAACAAATGGGGCCAAAGTGTATCACTTGTATAATTTTTACTATTATGCGTTACTCTCTTTTTCCAACAAAAATAGTATTTTCTTTTGTAAAGTTAGATTCGTTGCACTACAAGAAATGTCACTTTTGGCTATTAAAATATTGGTCGGCAAAAGGCATAAATTTGGTCGCTGAAACGATTTACCAACCAAATATTTCTGTCGCCATCTGACTAAACCTTTTCGTAGCCAAAAACCTATTAAGATTCATTTCTTTACTTAGTCGCCAAATGATACCCTTTTTTCCGTGACTAAAAAATTTAGTGGCCAATAGTTTATTTCTCTCATTCTCAGATTTTTTAGCTACTAATTTTTTTGGTGGCAAAAACGTTTTGGGTTATGTTTTTGCTACTAAATTATTAGTAGTCAAAACTTTTGATTACCTATTTGGCTACCAAAACATTTGGTGGCCAAATAATTTTCTATTTTTTTTTTTAAAAAAAGAAAAAAATTGTAAACAACCTGTATTCATTTATATTACAACATGTACCCTGTATAAACAATATAATCCATCAACATTAAAATATATTATCAACCATTAAAGCATTCAACAACGTGCACACATTTCAGTTCCAAGCATCCAAAAAATTAATCCAAAAACGTCCAATTCTATATATAATACAAATTCCATACACTCCAAGTCTAATCCAACGTCAATAATTTAAATCCATACATAATACATGAATAACCAAATTAATTTGTTCGAACCACTATATATACGGATAGAGGTATAAAAACAATGCCCTCTCGTAATTGTCAAAAAATTATATATCCATGGATATATAGCTATAAAACCATCTGCAAAAAAAAAATAAAATTCATTAGTTTGGTGTCAAAAAATTATATCACTATAAAATGTTAAGGCTTAAAAGCTTCCCTGTTAATGACATAGATATTCTGACATATAAAATGGCAAGTAGCTTGTGCAGTTCCAGCATGAGAGCTCTCAATGTTTGAGCTAATGTCATCTGAAGGAAGATAAAACAGAGATCTTGTAAAAGTAAAGTGTCAATGTGTACAAAAAGAAGATTTTTTTATAAAATAAATTTAAAGAAGAAGAAGAAAAAAAATCTAAAAAAATATCTTACCAATCATAACTCCTTGCTCATGAACTAGCACAGCCAGATCCTTAAAAATCTCATTCACCTCACCAATCTGCTGTTGAATTTCTTCGATCCCCTGTTCTCTTTCCTCAATAATGTATTCATTGAAAACAATATCATTCTCCAACATTGCCACCTCCTGTCTGCACTAAATTACATTGCTCCAGAGGAGCTTATTATATATAATAATAAAAATTCACACATGATACAATGAATCATTTACAAAAAAGATAACCATTATAGTAGTTTCCATATAATTGCTACATAGTCAGGCCTAAAGTTTCTAGCTAAGTTCAGTTATTCACCTTTTAGATTGCACAAGAAGAGCTAACTGTTCATGACTCTTCGCTGAATCGATCTTCAGCTCATTGCCATTGTTGCTGCACAAAATTTTATCAAGGACATTAGATGAAATATTCCAAGTCAATCAGCGGCAAATATGTGTGAGACATCAACTAATTACTCCTTAGAATTTAGCAAGTAGCAAAATGAATAACAGAGTCAAGACTTGGTCAAATTTCAACCAATACTGATAATATTGGCCAACTCATCTCAATATTTAGTGAAGAAACTAAGACCCTTTATCACAAATCTAGCCAACGCACCTAGGCAGAAGAACTTCCTTAGGAACAAAAGGAGCATATGTTGTTTCCCTCTTAGCAGCAAGCCGTTGAGCCTTTTGAAATTCTCTAAGAACTGCCTGGAAATCTTTTGCCAGCTTAGCATCAGCAATCTTCTTGCTGGCCTGGAGTAGAACGAAAAGATTTCAAGGTATTAGAAGATAATTTTTTCCAAATCACGCAAATACAAATTCAACAGAGGGTAGGAAATTTTCTCACAAACAATATGAGGCTTAAAAAATGCAAGTGTTAGCGAGTGTAAATAGAGGAAGCAAAAAAAGTAGGATGGTAACTATGTGTAGCATAAAAATGGCTAATTGAGAATGCCAATCACATGTGAACTCACACTGACTTCAGTAACAGGAAGGAGTGAGAGAGAGAATTGGCACATATTAAAAAAAAAATAGTAATAATGTTGAACAATCTTATCCATGCAAAAGAATTAAACAAATTTATATTACCACGTTATATATATAATAGTTTTTATATAAAGATGTGGTTACAATATCTAAAAGCCACCAACCATAAATTATTTAAAACCCATTACATTCTTTCTTGACATTAGAAAAATGGATACAACAACCCTAAATAGGGTAATATAATAAATAAATAAATGAAAATCTATCAGAAAGTTCCTAGAACACATGCATTTTACACAAATCTGTCAGAAAGTTCATAAAGCACAGGTGCATCTTACATAAAGATGCATTTCAGTTCCTTGAGCCCTTGACCTAAGATGAGTTTTTTAATTGATTATATATGCCCCTTCATGTTTCTCTCCTCTCATTCCTTCTGTCCATTGAGAACAGGCACAAACTGTTAATAAAGGATAGACGGATAGAAAGACAAGGATTCCAAAAACAGCCCACTTAAAGCCCATCATTAGCCAATAAAGGAGCTCTTGCATAGAAAGTCATGTTTGTTAGGAATTTTAATTTTTAGGAGTTTCTACTTTGGTTATAATTTCCCTAAATTTTAAGTAAAGCTAGGAGTCCTTTCCAGGGCTACTGTCTACCCTGTTGTTAGTTTATAAAATTTATATTGCAAGAAATGCTATTGGTTAAATGTATAAGAGAGAGTTTGATAAAAGTAGGATATGTCTATACTTTTGACAATCATGTTAAACCAATCAATCAATTTCAATCTCCCCTTCAACTATATGCAAGACTTTGTAATGAATGAGATAAAAATCAATAAAAAGGGACTACCACCTCCAGCAATCCTTGGTCTTCTCCTCCAGTTCATAATGAATGAGACTTTTGACAATCATGTTAAACCAATCAATCAATTTCAATCTCCCCTTCAACTATATGCAAGACTTTGTAATGAATGAGATAAAAATCAATAAAAAGGGACTACCACCTCCAGCAATCCTTGGTCTTCTCCTCCAGTTCATAATGAATGAGACTTTTGACAATCATGTTAAACCAATCAATCAATTTCAATCTCCCCTTCAACTATATGCAAGACTTTGTAATGAATGAGATAAAAATCAATAAAAAGGGACTACCACCTCCAGCAATCCTTGGTCTTCTCCTCCAGTTCATAATGAATGAGACTTTTGACAATCATGTTAAACCAATCAATCAATTTCAATCTCCCCTTCAACTATATGCAAGACTTTGTAATGAATGAGATAAAAATCAATAAAAAGGGACTACCACCTCCAGCAATCCTTGGTCTTCTCCTCCAGTTCATAATGAATGAGACTTTTGACAATCATGTTAAACCAATCAATCAATTTCAATCTCCCCTTCAACTATATGCAAGACTTTGTAATGAATGAGATAAAAATCAATAAAAAGGGACTACCACCTCCAGCAATCCTTGGTCTTCTCCTCCAGTTCATAATGAATGAGACTTTTGACAATCATGTTAAACCAATCAATCAATTTCAATCTCCCCTTCAACTATATGCAAGACTTTGTAATGAATGAGATAAAAATCAATAAAAAGGGACTACCACCTCCAGCAATCCTTGGTCTTCTCCTCCAGTTCATAATGAATGAGACTTTTGACAATCATGTTAAACCAATCAATCAATTTCAATCTCCCCTTCAACTATATGCAAGACTTTGTAATGAATGAGATAAAAATCAATAAAAAGGGACTACCACCTCCAGCAATCCTTGGTCTTCTCCTCCAGTTCATAATGAATGAGACTTTTAACAATCATGTTAAACCAATCAATCGTTGGTCTTCTCGTCCACCACCTCCAGCAATCCTTAGCCATTGAAGTGTTTGCTATCTTCCCAGAGGTCCACAACCAACCACCACATATACCTAATACCTACACTAATGTATTAAGCAAAATATATATAGTTAATAGTCAAACTGTTCCTAATTGTGCTTGTTCAACATATTAAGGAGTTTAGAAAGCAACAGGAACAAAAATACAACCTGTTTTGGATAAATTAAGACATGCACACTACATGCTTTTAATATAAGTTAGTATTATACAAACACTGAAATTATACTTTCAGGCCCACAAACAAGGTCTATAATATAACTCACCACTCCCATTTCCCAACCACCTTTACAAAGTACCTCATTTGAAGTTAAAACAATAACACAAGTTCACAACTCATTGTAAACTCATATCTCAACACAGTCTGTATGTTCCCCAAATCAATTTGCCGGTAATAAACTTTAGGTAGAAGCAACAAGGCTATAAACAAATAAATAAATAAATAAGTTAATTAAGTTGGAGTTCAATTAGATTTTAATCAGGAACATGTAATTGGTTGTTAATGATCATCAAAAAATTGAGATTTTCGAGGCCATGATTTCAGCAATCCGAACATGTTCTCGTGGAAGATGAATTGGTGAATTACAAATTTGAGACCTAAAAGGGACAAAACAAAAACTTTTCACATCTCTCAATTTCCCACATACCAAAAACTAAAATTAGTAAGTAAATTTTGACAAACATTGGAGAGAGTAAACAAACCTGAGCTAGAGAAAGTACGTCCTTGGTACCTCGGATCACTTCCTGTATCTGCAAAACACCGAACACCATCACACATTTCTCAGGAAACAAACACAACCAAATGAGGGGGAAAAAAAGAGTAGATGAAAATGAAAATGGATGAAAATGAAAACTTACCATCATATACATATACACATCAGTTATGATAATTTCAGAGTAAAACCAAATGTTAATGACTGAGTTTCAAAAACGGATATCACGGTTAGTAGAGGCCGGTCTTCGGACCGGGCGAAAGGGGGTGCTCATAGCTGACCT